ACATCTCAATTTAGAACAATGACACTGTTACTAAGATGCACCATTATTTCCAATATTACACTATTTTGTCCCCATGCCTACCTGCAGCTAACATCTCAAACTTCCTCAAACAAAGCTTCTTAGACATCATAATACAACTACTTTTATGTTTCAGGAGCTTTGTGTTATATTTATGGTAGCAATAATTGTGTATCTGAAGACATTTGACACTACTAAAAATCAAACACTGATAAAGGGGTAGGTGACTGAGAATGGAAGTATATGTATAAGAATTTGGGGAATTATTTGGCCCTGGGGTCGCGTAATGAAAATAATATTTTTTAGCAGAAATAGAATTTTAAGGATGAATTTTATACTATTAAATCAAAATACACGAAGATAGAATTAATCGTGACTATTGTTAAATTTTTATAAATTGAGAATTTAAATTTTTAACTGAAATATTAGATAGAACTGGTAATTTGAATGGATAGGGGATGATATTTTCACTAACAGAATACGATTGGCGCTTCCATGATTGCAAGTTGAATGATCAAGGGAAGAGAACAGTCCTTAAAAGGAATGAGTATCAATTGGCGCTTCCATGAGAAAATTATTGGATGTCAGGTAAGGAAAAAGTAATGAGAGTTGGTGTAGAAAGAAAAACAAAGATTTGAAGACTTGGTAAGTCTCTTATACTCGTAATAAGGATTAATATGATACCAAGAAATTATAATATATTTAAAAAAATCATAGATTTTCTTTAAATAATACTAATTAAACAATTTGTTGTGTTAAAATCCAATTATTTATGTATAATAGTAGCCTACCAATTTGTCATCGGGTCATTTCATTTTAGATTTCATGCCAAGAATACTAACTAATCATACTCTTGCTAATTTTTTGTTGGGTTCATGTTGTGTTAGCATATAATGTCGAAAATAAACACTAATAGAAGGAATACTTTGTCTTTGAAATAGAAAAAAAACCTAACCATTCAAGACTTGGTAAGTCTTCTCTGGTTAATATAAACAAAATGCATTAAGTAATGACTCATTCAAGGCCACATGACTATAAATAAGGGCTTTTACCATGCTAAATCTTTCAGCTCTCACCAAGCAATACTTCAAAGAAAAGGCAATTTGCTTCATATAAAGATGGCCAATCACTTCCTGGCTACAATTGCCCTTGTGGCTCTGGCTTCCTCCTTTGCCTATGCATCAGATCCTAGTCCTTTGCAGGACTTTTGTGTTGCTATCAATGACCCCAAGGCTGCAGGTATCAATCTGTTCTCTTTATTTTCATATTCAACATTACATGTTATGTGGGTTCATTAACTAATTCTAACTTGACAAAACTCCTATTAATATTCATGCAGTGTTTGTGAATGGAAAGTTTTGTAAGGACCCTAAACTTGCCACAGCTGATGATTTCTTTTTCCCCCCTCCCAACATGTCTGGTCTCAACATTCCCAGAAATACATCAAACCCACTTGGGTCGGTTGTAACTGCAGTAAATGTTGAACAAATACCAGGACTCAACACGCTTGGTATCTCCTTAGCTCGTATTGATTTTGGTTCGTATGGCCTCAATCCACCCCATACCCACCCTCGTGCTACCGAAATCCTTGTTGTCTTGGAGGGTACCCTCTACGTTGGCTTTGTCACTTCCAATTTGAACCCTGGCAACCGCCTCATCACCAAGGTCTTACATGCGGGAGATGTCTTTGTATTTCCCCAGGGTCTCATTCACTTCCAATTTAACCCGGAAAAAACTAATGCAATTGCTTTTGCCGGTCTAAGCAGCCAAAATCCTGGAGTCATCACTATTGCAAACGCTGTCTTTGGCTCGACACCACCCATTTCTATTGATGTCCTTACCAAGGCATTCCAAGTGGACAAAAACGTTGTTGAGTATCTTCAGAAACAATTCTGGTGGGACAACAACAACTAGAGCAGCTTTGCCATCTTCTACTTTTTAAAATTATTATAAGAATGAAGTGTGTGTGTGTGTGTGTTTGTTATGTTTTGTGGCATTTGTACTACAAAGATTACCTACCCCATATATATAATAAATTGTTGTGCTCGTTATATGTACGGTTCTTCTCTTAGCAAGACTTTCTCGTTATAATAATGAAGTTCAGCTATCCATTGTTAAACTTGTTACAAAGATTTTATGTTGTTATAATAATGAAGTTCGTTACATGCTTGTGTGTGTAATATATGAACTCGGATCAACCAAATTACAAATATTATCTGTTGTGGCGACGTTCAACTATCCATTGTTAAATTTGTTGGACTCTGATGGCTATCTTAGTTGAATCCACAATTCCATCTAATAGAATTTAATAAATTTTGTGATGCATGATTGAACATGAAAAAAAAAATTAACAGTACCCACTTATGGACAATAATAATGGATCGGGATTAATACATCATCTCTCAATATTTAGAAACCTACGCATAAAGGGTATTGTGTTTTTATACTGTATCTTTAACTTTGTTAGCTATTATACTTTATTGCCAAACCACAAGGATTAAAGTATAGAGAAGTAAAGATTGCTGGAGCCAACAATTGGGGGGGGGGGGGGGGGGGGGGTTATTTATAATGGGACATTCAAAATTTCATTAAGGACTTTTTAAGGGTCACGATGACATTTAGTGAGACTCAAAAGATTTTAGTTGTAGCGATCAAATCTGTCAAAATTGGCCAAATTTAGGATTTAAATGATTAAAATCTATTAGTGCCATTACGACAGAGGTTTACTTTCATGTCACGGACAAGTCATTTCGTCAAATAGTCTATCAAAATCTCAATCAATTTTACATATGTCAAACTAACTACTCTGTCACCTGGGAGTTGTTTAATAATATTTTACAAAGTCTAAGAAATCTTGATTTTCTATTATACATCTTACTCTTTGCACGAGCAAAGGTCGCTTGACTATCATAATAAACAGTGAACGATTGGCCACCAATGAATCGACTTAGTGTACCGACTGCAAATGTTCTAATTTTTCTTTTTATTGACTTTACCAATTTGATATGGGATGGATTGCAGTTGACCCTTAACACATTACACATATTGCATCATATATATGTAGTAATAAAATCCATGGACATAGCTACTATGCATTACTTAATTTCTATTTAAAGACCCACGAGTTGAATATGGCTTTTCATATTGTTTTCACTCAGTTTTATTAGAACCCAAAAAATTCTAATGGTATAATACAAACAACTCAATCACGGATGATTAAACTTGATCGAACTTAGGGATTCAATGCTGATAAAAGAATGTTCCATTCGATCTGTAAATTGCCGATTCTAATTTCCTATCCTTTTGAAATTTAAAGCTAGTCTTTTACTAGCTAGGACAGCCCCAGATCTCATCTTACTACACCATCAGGATGCAATAAGCAATCTAAAATGCATTTTCTTCTTTGGTTTCGAGAACAATATATCCAGACAAGACTCTAAAGTCCGTTTGGCTGGATGGATGATAAAATAGAAAGATGAAAAAATAATCCATCATTCAAGGGAAGAATCATTCATTTCCTCAATTATGTTTGGTAAGAGAGATGGAATATAGAAAGAATTGAATTTTGGGAAAATCCTAGTTTGCCCCTTAAAAGATACAATTTTTTTCACTTTCCTCCCGAATGATTAATTTTTCCATATTGCCCCCTGAAAGACTTTAGAAGGTTACAATGTAGTAAATCGTCCTTTTTTTGGTTTGTCGTCCGTTTGGTTTTGTTATCACATGATTTGCACGTGATAATAGGTGGGGATGTATTGTAAAATCATTGTCTATGTAAAATCATTCATCTACCCAAGTGATTTGGGTAATCTACTGTGTGTGTGAGAGAGAGAGAGAGAGATTTCGGTTCCCAGGTTTGTTCGTGGAAGAAGAAGATCCAGAAAGTAGGAGAAGAAGGAGAAATGCAATCCATATGTTACTATGGTAGAACTCCCGAAACGAAGACATCGGGGACATATTTGAACCCAGGAAGGAGATTTATCACATGTGCGAATAACGAGGTAAGTTGTTCCATTATTCATCTTTAGTTGGTTTGTGTCCATATTATTTAGCAAGATATTGGTGTTCAAGCAACTGATTATTACAACTTGTATTTGATAAATTAGGGATTTTTTACAACTAGGGTTAGTTTTATTTCTTGAAAATTATGTTTTCTGCACATCGAACAACTTATTTTCCACTTTTAGTGCGTACTACCGATGGTTTTGTTTAGTTTCTTTTCAACATTTCTTATGGTTACAGCTAAGTGTGGTTACTTTCAATGGATTGATCCCCAATGTGTACTAGATCACGCCATATAATTCCGGGTTTGCTGCATCGTGTTATACATTTTGAAGAGTAGTTGGAGCAATCCAGAGTAAGAGAGAGGATGCTTTGGTGTTGCATGATTGGTTCCTGGTTTCTCATTGTTATCTTCTGTGTCTACATTAATGCAATTGATGGACATGGCTCAGCTGTGGAGGTTCCAAATGGAGATATTTTGCCATTGCAACTGTTGTGAATGCGTATCCATGAAGTATAAGCTGATGGATATTTTGCCTTTGCAACTATTGTGAATGTGTGATCGGTGAAGTGAAGCTAGGTGACACTGATGAAATTTTTTTGCCAAGTTAGATATTTTGTTGTATGTAATATGATGATGGTTGCTATAATGAAATAATGAAGTTATGTAATATTATGATTCAATAGTGAATTTGTGTATCCATGAATCAACTTGGTTTCTCATTCTACTAAAAAGTGAATATTCATTTCACAAAAAATGCATATTCATTTACCAAAAAAGTGTTGCGGTTCAGCTACATCAGAAATATGTATAACAAAAGAAACAGCTAGCTGGGATATGTTAACAAAAGAGATAGCTATCTAGTATTTTCAACTTGTGTTCAATTTGTTGGTATGTTCAACTTGATGGTATGTTTGCCTTGTGTTCAATTTGATTTGTGGTGAACCACATTCTTCTGTGGGAGACTGCTTTCTGGCTTTCAACTACTTTTTGATGCATTACTTGGTGTATTCCAAGTTGATTTTTGTGATGCTGATGGTGCTCTCCAAGCAAACTGAATGAAAGTAGATGCTGATGGTGCTCTCCAAGCAGATTGAATGGAAATAGATGCTGATGGTGCTCTCCAACTAGATTGAATGGAGGTAGATGCTGATGGTGCTCTCCACCCATACTGAATGGAAGTAGATGCTGATGGCTTCTTGACTGATTTGGTTGATAAAATTGTAGGTTCATATTGTGATCCATTGTTCCTCCTTCTAATCTGTTAATGAATAATAAAAATTAGCTCACTTATTGAAAAATAAAAACAAGCATGATAACAAACATGAAATGCTTCATATCTTATAGGGAATTGCTGTCTGCCAATTGGAACATTCAATGTTGCAGATGGGATTGAGATGGATGTGGGCATGCAGAATTGGGGTTTCTAGTTTCTGAGTCAGTTACAGGTTTGTCCACCTGAACATTTAATATACATTAAAACTGAATTGTTCTTCTTAATTCTTGAACTTGATTATACAAGTTGTATTTGTGTTGGTTCTTCTTAACTCTTCACAGTAATCCCATAATAAACTGAACTGTTCTTTGTCTGTGCCACTCACAATTGCCATTGCTTTATGTTTAGCTTTAAATACCTCTTTTTTCCTAAGTTTAGAACATGCTCTTTCTGCACAGTTTCCTTGAAGGATTTCATAGGCCATGTAGAGTTTGATCTTAGTCTATCAACATATGTATATGCAATCTAGTTTGAAGTGACATGTTTAATGTTGAGAGTTCTATTGCAACTATGGGAAGCATTATATGTTTTAACTTGCATGTTGTTTTCACTTGCCATGCTAGAAGCAAATATCAACCATTCACAATCAGGCCAACAAACTGCCCTTATTCTACATTTATCATTTTTAATATACCTTATCTCCTTGCCCCATTTGATTGCATGATGCCTAACTGCGGCTCTAAACTTAGTTGCATTTCTGAACAACATATCGAGCTTAAATTGTGGATCAACCATTTCAGTCCAAGCATTGAAGTGTGGACACTTAACCTTGGACTTTCCTCCTTCCTCACCCTCTGATGATGATCCACTAAGACTAACCAATTCATCCGTGTCATATTCTTCACCATAAATTGTGCCCCTGTCACCAACTCCTTCACCTTTGGCAACTCCTTTGCCTTTCTCCATTCTTTTCCCTTTGGCAACTCCTTTGTCTTCCTCCATTCATTTCCCTTTGTTAACTCTAACAAATTCAGCATCATGATCCACAAAAGTATCATACAATTCATCATCATGCCTGTCATACTCATTATCATAAAAGTATTCATACTTTGAGGACTCTCCGTCTGAGTACGAGCCACTCTCATTAGAACTTTCAAAGTTTTGATTTTCCTTTTGATTTTCTGCCAAACCACCTGCATTTGAATCAACTTGACTATGGATAAACACATTTGGAATGAAGTGCTCAACATAAACTTCAATGACTCTGTCGCTATCAACATAATTAATCATTTCCATGGTCTGTTTGTCATTTTCTAATACTTTCTATCCATCAGTAGTAATTTGGTGGAACCTGCTCAACTCAGAGTATCCCACTTCCGTAGTCTTTACCATATTCTCCAACTCAATCAAAGAAGGATGGTCAGCATCACACATATCTATGTGATTTATCTTCCCGCCAATATAACGTTTTTTGCCCTTACTGCCCGATCTATCACCATGATGCAATTGGATAATAAAATATCCACAAATAGTATCTGCATATCTGCTCAATCTTCTTCCCCAAATCTAGTCCCTTCTTCTCTCTCTCTCTCTCTCTCTCTCTCTCCCAGTAGATTACCTAAATCACTGAGGTAGACGAAGATAAGATTTTGCACAGACAATGATTTTACAATACAACCTCTCTTGTTATCACGTGCAAATCACGTGATAACAAAACCAAACGGACAACAAATGGAAAAAATGACGATTGACTACTTTGCAACATTTTAATGTTTTTTAGGGGGCAATATGAAAAAATTAATTATTCAAGAGGCAAAGTAAAAAAATTTGTATCTTTCAAGGGGCAAATCGGGATTTTTCCTTGATTTTTGTTTTTGTATTTGATAAGGTAGAAAAAATATCATTCATTTCCTCAAACTTTTTATCTTTCCAACTTTAACAACAAGTAATGCTGCTAGTGACAAACTTCTTGTGGCAAATAGAAATATCTTGGCAAAAAAAGGAAGGTGTCAAGGAAAATCAACATTTTTTATATGTTACTAATTTTTATTGAGCATGTTATTATTTTTTCAATGTTACTTTTTTGGATCCTGATGAATTGGAGGTTTTTTCCTCTAGTTATGGGTTTGAATGTAACTAATTTTATTTTCAATTTTGTTCAATGTTCTATATTGCTTTTGTTTTTTTGTTGAACATATTACTATTTTTGTTAAACATGTTACTATTTTTGTTGAATATGTTACTATTTTTGTAAAACATGTTACTATTGTTATTTTTTTTAAATATTAATATTAAATGTTAGTATTTTTTTTATGTTTAAATGTAGCTATTTTTTTTGTTTAAATAATATTATTTTTTATATTTAAATGAAATTTTTTTTTTTTTTTATTTTTAATGTTACTATCTATATAATAAAGTACAATACAATTCAAATTTCAAAAGATAAACAAAATGACTTTTATTTTTCACTATTTTAAAATTAAACTGACGGCTAATATCAATATCCCAATTTAATAGGGAAAATAGGCCTCTAAGGGTGTGTTTGAAGTGAATTTTTAAAAGTGTTTTTAGAATTTATAATTTCTCCTAAATACTTTTTTAAAAAAATAGTATTTGAAACCACCCTGGTACCACCACCCCACTTATTGCCCCACCACCCATCACTACCATCACCACTACCTTCCCCACCGCCCCACCACCATCACCACTACCGCCGCCGTCACCTCTGCCACAACCACCACTACCATACTCACTGCCCACCACCACCGTTGTGGCCACCCTACCACTAGCACCACCTTCACTGCCCCACCACAACAACCACTACCATCGTTGCCACCACCTCTGCCACAACAACCACCATTGCCCAACCACCACCACCGTTGTCGTCACCACCACTTTCGCCACCCCACCAACTCCTCTGTCATTCTCCCATCATCACCCTTACCACCATCACCCCCACAACCATCACCATGCCACTCCATCACCGCCACCACCACCCACGACTGATTGCTACCACCGTCATCCTCCAATCACCATCGTCATCTTATTCACATATTTATTACTACTATCACCATCATTACACTATAACCGTTGCTCACCGTTAGCACCCACTAGCACCATTATTGCCCACCACCATCAGTCGTCGCCCACAATCGTTGCCAGCCACTATCATTCACACCCACCACTAACCACCACCACCACCACCACCCGTCATCGTTCACTACTGCTGCTACTCATTGTCACCCACTCCCACTACACCTATCACCACCACCACCATCGTCATTCGCCACTACCTATCACACTGTCGCTCAAAAACATCCGTCATCTCCCGTCGCCACCATTGTCATCGCCCACCACCACCACCACCATTGTCATCACCCCACCACCATAACTACCGTCATCCATAACTTCCACTATCACTATCGTCACCCAAAACTCACCATCACCATCACCGTTGCGACCCATGGCTACCACCACCATTACAGTCGTCGCCACTTACCACAATTATCATCGTTTTCCACTACCAACAATGCTTAAATTTCTTTTTTTTTCTCCTTTTTGGTTGTGATTTGATTTTGTGTGTGAATAGAAATATGTTTATTATTGACAAATTTTTTTATTACTCTGTGCCTGAAATAACTACTATATATATATATATATATCAGTCATATCCTGTGGCTAAAGGCACCAAAAAACATAAAATTCAAGTGGCCAAAAACTCGATCTCACTATATTAAATAACAATTGTTTCTCTTCATTTATTTAAAATTTATTTTTACTTATTATTTTCTTAATAATATTGACAAAATTTTCTCAAAATACATAATGCGATAAAATTTTCTCAACATGTGTATATCATCGTATATAGATAATAACTAAAATAAAAATTATGTTAACCAACAAATTAATTAAATATTAAATAATTGAACATTTGATAAGATGGGTGATGTGATGAAATTGGGGGTAAAAATATGTAAGGGATAAATTTCAACTTCCCATGTGATTTATTATATACTAGTGATAACTCATGCCTGAAGGCATGATAGAATAAAAAATTCGAGTCCTAAAAAATTGATATTATTATATTCAATGATTTTTTTCTTTCTTTCATTTGTTTGATTAATTCGTTCAAAATTTATTTTTATCCATTATTTTCTTAAAGATATTGACAAAATTTTCTCAAAATATGTAATTCGATAATTTTTTTTAAAAGATCTATACTATCGTGTATGGATAATATCTAAAATAAGAATTATGTTAAATTACAAATTAATCAATAGTTGAGCATGCGGTAGAAATGAGTGATGTGATGGTTTTGGGGAGTGGAAAATGTATAGGGAATAAAGTTTAACTTCCCGTGTGTTTTAATATATAGATTTGTATGGATATAACGAAAAATTTCATTCAGATCCCTTGTAGTTAGGGCGAAATTCAATGACACCTCCTTCCGATTTTGAAATTTCACTGACACTCCCTGTTAGTAATTGTCAGGTTACACCGTTAATGGTGATGGTTGATTTATAGAAATATCCCTGAGTATTTTATAGGGTAAATTTTATCTACACCCATTATAAATAAACCTAACTTTAACAACAGTCCCTGTAAATAGAGCTAACTTTAACAACACTTTTTCTTGATTTTGAAATTTCAGTACACTCCCTTTTAGTTCTATTATATTAGCCTTTATTTTGATCAATTTAATATTCAATTTGATCAAAGTAATTTTCTTTATTTAATTTAAACTAAATTAACATTTCATCTCATCAAACAACACAAAATTGATATTTAATTTTATCAAATTAGTATTTAGTTATATTAATTTTATATTTTATTTCATCAAATTAATATTATTTCTTTAATTTAGTATTAAGTTATTATTTATTTTTATCAAATCAATATCAAATTGAAATTCAATTTTATTAAATTAAACTATTTAATTTATTAAATAGAATATTAAATTCCATTAATTTAAAATTTAACCTATCAAATTAATGTCATTTCTTTAATTTAACATCAAATGAACATTTAGTTTTATTAAAACAACATTCAAATTTATTTAATTAACATTAAATTAAATCAAATTAATACTAAATTAATATTTAATTTTATCAAATTAAAACTAAATTAATATTTAAATTTATCAAAATTAAGATCAAATTTATTCAATTAATATTAAATTTTATGAAATAATTTTAAATTTTATATATGAAGTATGATGTGCGAGGAGCGGTCGGGCGACGTTGTGGAGGACATATGATAGCAGAGGAATTAGAAATGAATAAAATTTTAACATTGAATTTATCAATTGTATTTTTTATTACAAAAAAATCATTTTTAACTATAAAAAATCATTATGAAAATAAAATATAAAAATTATAAAAACTTGACTATGTAACCAAATGAGTGATAATATGATGACTAATATTATTACAAAGTTATAATACGATGTTTTAAAATAAAAAATTCATTGAGATAATATAATGATTAAAATTACGTTTGTTAGCTGGCTAGCACATATATAATGGGGAAACAATTGATGACATTTTAGTCTATTTACATAATAAAGAGTAATTTTAGTATTTTCATAAAATATTTAGTTAAATCATTATTTTATCTACTATAGAAACAAAAGTTGTAGTTATAGGAGTTGTCATTGAATTTAGATTCAACTACATGATGTTTAGATAAAACTTTCCCTAAAATATAACATGTAAATATAGTATATCTTCGATTTTTGTAATATATATATATGTACAGTAAAGATGTGTGTGTGATATGAACAGTAAAAATGGAGAGCAGCTGCATTAGAATAGAATTTTGGAGAGACATGTGTCTTAGTTTGCAAAGAGAATCATGAAAGATGAGAGAGTTAGAGACAGTCAATATCTCAATATAGAAAGTGATCCCTTAACATAAGAACTAAAATTAGGGAAATAATGATTAGAGTTGTAATCTGTATTTTAGGAGAGAGAGGCAGAGTTAAAGACTAAGAGATCGCTTAATTGCCGGATTTGATTGGATTGAGAAATTAAATTTAGGTGCGTTAGTTTTGTAAACTAAAAGTTTTGAGCGGCAAAAAATTTTCTAGAGCTAATATGGTACGTCAGATTGAAACGATCTGAGATGTCAATAGCTTGAGATAGTTTGAAATATCGTCGGCCGTTGGATGATATGTTTTTTGATCTCGAAACGATCTGAGCCACTCTATGTGTCTTGAATTCAAAATCGTTCTACTTTATTATATAGATATGAGAGAAATATAGTTCTAACCTATATATGGACATAGATAGATATAAGAGAGAAATTTTTTTAATATTAGTCAAACTCTTAAGGAATTTTTAGTTTTTAATATTACTTCACTTCTAAAAGGAAGTGATAGTTTAGTAACATTGACAAAAAATGAATTTCATAACAAATAAAATTTCTTTGCATAC